TTTTTCTAGACGATGAATATTTATGCTACGATCAGCCGTTTAGGTAAAATTGAAATTTCTTATAGAATATGTCATTACACTTTTACATTTGCTTCATTTTTTTTACTTATAAAACTTTCAAAATATCTATTTTAATCACTAAATTTTTGAAAATTAGGAGCATAATCCAACGATTAAACATCTACCTTTTTTAGATTACTCACGACTTTTTTTTTACCTTAACCTGTTGAGTTATGTTTAGGTTTACACCTTGTTATCGATGTTAATTTGTGATACATTGTTAAAGATGCGGATAACATGACTCCATATTTGTGCGTTAATGTTCTACCATAGGTATTTTTTAAAGCAACATAAGATGGTGAAAGTGGTATTAGGTGGTAAATATTGTTAAGTGGAAGTATAATACTAGGTTAAAAAACAATTTGGTCCTTGTACCTTTACTAAAGTAACAATTTAATCMATGAACATCAGTTTGTAGCGTTTAGTCCCTATACTTTTCATAAAGTAACAATTTAGTCCCTGAACTTTAACTTGTAAMGATTTAGTTCTTGTAGTATAAAATCTGTAACAATTTTGTCCCTATCGTAAAAAATTTATTAAAATTAAGTATGAAATTTTATCATATAAAAATTTAACCTTTCTAATCCATAAACATATTTGATCTATCTATACATACAAGAAACTTAACAAAAACAAAATTCATGATGAGGATCAAATCGTTACCAACTTTAAATTACAATGACTAAATTGTTACCAATTTGAAAGTACATGGACTAAATCGTTACAAACTAACGTTTAGGGACTAAACTGTTACTTTTTCGCAAGTACCATGACTAAAAGTTTTTTTTAACCATACTACTAAATACCAAATTTATTATTTTATTATCCAAAAATTAAAATAGATATTTAAAAAATTTAGAGATCAAAATAAAATTTAAATTGGGATCATAAACGAATTACACCCWAAAAAATGACAATAAACCAATTCCCCTTTTCAAGATATTAAATAATAGAAATAAAATGTCGTTAAACAAATCTTAAAACATTATTCATTTCAAAATATTTTATCACAACTAATGAGAGAGATAATAATGATAAGTGGTACAAGTTATACATAATGTTGGTTTAATTAATATAACAAAAAAAAACTTTATTGTTAAATTAAATAACAAAAGGAGGAAAAAAAAAACTAGAGCGAGATTCATTTTCCGAAGCATAATATTTAAACAAGACCTAGGTGTAGTATTGGGGATGGGCCATAAATTCAAATAATATACGAAATTAAATACTCATTTAATTTATTTAAAGGCTATTATTTTATTTATTTTCATGCCACTTGTTTTTTTCTTCCCTTTAATACTTATTGCAAATATCTTGAAAGATTCAATTTTGTCTCTAATAAACTAACATTTTTCAATTAAGTCTCTATCATTTACTAATGTTAAAATTTATAAACAATTTGTTGACATTATTTTAAAATGTAATTCATTCCATTTTAGAGAAATAATCTAAAATTTTTAAATTTAGGAGATRAAAAATTAGAAAACATCAATACATTATATTAACCAATCTGAGACTCAGCAATAATTGATACTTATATCTAACCAAAAAATTACGACTTAAAAAATACATATATATTAAAAAGATGATGCAGATTATATGGGGTAATGAAAGATCAAGATTTTTATAATTTTAAAWTTTTAAATTTTAAGTGGATGAAAAAAAAAACTCACCCAACCCAGCAATAATATTTTTTCAATTGCATCATCACTCCCAATGTAATTATATTCTTAATGTCATGCTATTAAAATTATTAATGAATATTAATGATGGTGGATAATAGAGATATAATTTTTTAAGCTAAAATGAAAAAAACAGTTAAAATACTAAATATAAAATAATATATATTTAAGTGGAGGTTAGAGGTTACCCAAAGAAGAAATTTATTTCTTAGCTTAGTGGGAAGCCAGATTTGTAGCTGTAGGTGGACGCGACGAATCCAAGCCGTTGGATCCGTTGAATCTCGTACCTTGGATGAGTTGAATATTTTAATCTTAGGACCACTTGTAGCACGCCACCGAGATGGGCCCGCGTTAATATGGTGGTCCGCAGCGTAAAATAACTCCAAAAATTAGGTACAGTCAACGCTGCCGGGTAAGATTCGAGATCAGCCTACGAGAGATCCTGATCCAGCAATTATGGGAATCAACTAATCAGACAACGCCACGTGGACCAATTATAAATTGTATGGATAAAAAGGGTGTAATTAAATGGGTGATTAAATGGCTGTGTTTATAATTATTGTTGTGGGTAGATGTCGGTCAGCTAGATAGGTGACCGACCAATCAAGTAGGCGGATTAATTGCGGCTAGGTGAATTGCGGGTGAGGGTATGGCTGTGATAAAACGTGGGACGTTGCCTTTTACGGGAAATTTTTATTTTTTACCTTTCTTTCCCCAAAATATATTGTTATTACCAATTCCTTCCCCAAATAAAATACATGTTTCTTTTTGGTACACATTAAAGTTTGTTCTTGATTTTTTTTTTTCTCAAATAGGTTAATTTTGAAGTTTTCTTTTAAATCTTTTTGGGGTAAGTTACATCTAATTATCTATCATGGTGTAGCCCACTATTTAGTTAGAAAGAGATTTTAATAATAGTTCTTGTGTTTATTGATATTGTTGGACCACACTTTTATTTTTTGAGTGGACGATATTTATATCTCGTTTTGTTAGGTTTCTCTAGTTGTATAATGGTATTTGTTTTTTCTCCTGTACTTATATGAGCAAGTTAAATTTGACTTCAAATTCTGTATTAATTGATTTCATTATATTGAAATACTTAAAAGGTTGTGCTGGTACTTTTTAGAGCAATTACTTTGATGAGATAAAATAATTGCTGACACAAAATAAATATGTACTTAACAACATAGTATTAAACATTTGTTGACATTTCCATCGACATGTCCATATATTTGTGGGTTCGATATCAACATGAAGGATAAATCGACATTTCCATCATATACAAAAAATCGACAAAATACGAGAAATATCTAAAAAATGTCTTTAAAATATATGTATGCGATTAATATTAATAATTTATTGCTTATTTAGAAATAGAAAATTATTTATTTGTTAAATTAAATATTTTTTACTATTTTTTAATTTATCTAACTTTTATAGAAAAATCCATTGACATCGACACTCTATCGATATTTCCATGAAATTGAGATCTCAACATTTCTATCGATATCGACGTTGAGAGCTTACTTAAAAATACAACATGGTGTTTTAAATTTTACAAAAGTAGCAAGAAAAAGTCACATTGAAGTTAAATTAATAAATAAATAAAAGAAGGTACAATGTGAAATTAAAGAGTGAGAAAACATCATATAATCCAACAAAGAGTCACAAGGTCAAGACTTTTATGGCAGTTATCATATAGGTTAACATCGTCTTGTAATTCCAAAGAACTCGTTTGATAACATTCATATTTTTTTTTTCTATTTCTTAATTTAGTAAAGAAAATTGAATCGGAAGGTTCCAACATCCATGAATTCAAGTAGGATAAAACTATATTTTATTTTTGTCTTGTAACCAATTGAAAACTGAAACTTATTTGGATAGTTTTTAAAATTTCTATACAATTTTGAGATTATTAAAAAAAATAATAAGAGACCTAATTAATTGTAAAATACTTATATTTCTTAAAAAAAAAATTAAAAACAAAAGATAGATCTCACCTAAGTATTTTATTAAGTTCTAAACTTTACATCAAAAAACTATTTTAATCATCATAACTAATGGTCCTCTACCCATACATTAAAAATTTGAGTTCATTTATACCTCACATTTGACTTCAAATACTCATTTACATACACATTAATCAAATAAATTTCTTTTTATACAAAGATTTGAGCAAAATCAAAATAAATACAATTCAAACCCAATTTTTAATTCAATTGCAACATATACATCTGAGCACGGCGCCGTGTTTGGCTTTCAACACAATTAATAATATCTCAACTTAAACTTTTTTTTTCTTTTTTTTTTTTATAAGAATTGCTTCTCACATATTCTTTTTTATTTAATGCTCAAAAGAAAAGGGGGAGTATTGAGAAGTGGGTTTAAAACTATTTCTAAAAATTGCTTTACCCTTCACAGTTTAAAGATCTCCTCTTTCTTTTTCTAGACCTGTCTTCCTCAGCCACTCTCTCTCTCTCTCCTCTGTTTCTCTCTGATCAGCTCAGCCATAGCCATGGGAGCTCGAGCTTGATATCAGTGGAAAAGAAAAAGATACCCTTTTCTCGAGGATTTCTTCACTGGGTTTGTTTTTAATGGGGAGAAGAATTCTGGGTCTGCTTTCTTCTTCTCCATTAACTCGTTTTTCATCTTAAAAAAACAATCTTTTTTTTTTCTTTTGTTCCTCTGTTTCTGTCTCTGTTATTGAGGATCGATCCAGAGGAATTKAAACTTTCTTAAAAAGAAAAGAAAAGGGGGGTTTGAGATGTTGGATCTTAACGATTCGATTATTAGCTGCGAAGAAACGGCGAATCGGATTGTAATGGAAGATTCGGAGACTTCGAATTCCTCCGTGGTTAATG